GGTGTCAAAGGCCTTGCTGAAGTCCAGGTAGACACATCCACAGCCTTCCCCTCATCCACCAGGTGTGTCACCTCATTCTGCCAGGCTGCCGGGCAGTGTCCTCACTCCCCGCTGCTGTTTGAACGTACCTCCCTGGCGGGTGAGCCTTGACTGAGCCAAGCAGGAAAGGAATCCTCTCTCTTCCTTCCCTGTCCCCCAAAACAATCAATTGGTGTACCTGCCCCAGCTTGGAAATCTCCCTGGGAAATCTCCCTGGCGATGTGAACTGTGGTTCCTCCCACATCCCAGCTGGCAGCAGAGGGGAGGCGCGATGCACTTTAAAGGGGGAATTTCTACCCTGCCTTGGAAGGTCCTGCTCTTCTCTCCTCTTCCCTCCTGCACGAGGTCTTGGTGGCACCGGAAAAGCTCTCACCCCTGTATGTGGCCAGGTGCTGGGGGAAAAGCCTGACCCCAAATGCCCCTCGCCAGCACAAGAAGCCCCTCCCTTCCTGCTTGGCTGTGCCTGGACCGGGCAGGCAGAGGAGGACCGGCAGCAGGCACAGCTTTAAAGTGGGTCAGGGCCTGCTCCCCACAGCAGCCAGCTCAGCTTTCCTCCTCTTTCGTTCCAGAACTTATTTACTTTCTAAGCACTTCAGATGTTTGCTACCTCGATTTTTAATTTAAGCTGCTGGCACTTGGCTGCCAGCCCCGTCGGTGTCTACGTTGGATGTATCCATCGCCGCGTCCGTTGAGAGCCGCCCGGGCGCGGGGCCACATTCCCGGCTTCGGAGAGATAACAGCGGCGTGGCTGTTGCCGTCTTCCTGTCACCACCTCTTCCCTTCACGTCCCTCCACCCGCTGTTCCCATCGACAGGAGCGAGCACGCAGGGTGAAGTGGATGTGCTGGCTGCCACCAGGCAGGAAAGTGGGAGGGCAGGGCTCGTCTACACTGTGATGCTGGGCACTTCTCTCGACATCTTTTGTTCTGCTTGCTTGAAAGAGTCTTGTCTTAAAACAATCTCCCACTGAAGTGTTTCTTATTCGCACCACCTGCTCCTGAGTTTCTCCCAGGCCGGAGCTCCCTGGGCAGGGCATCCCCTCAGGCTCTGCTGCAGAGCAGGAGCTGCTGTCCCCAGAAAGAGGAGAGAAAACCATGGTCTGTGCTGCCTTGCCCCTCTGCTCTTCGAGGGCACGGGAAGCTGCACTGAAGCCGCTGCGGGTACTGGGGAAGGCGAAGGAGGAGTGGGGAGGGGGCCAGTGCTGTTTGCCTGTCCCAGTGGGGAGCCCCTCACAGGGCTACCAGCCAAAAATCTGCTGGCAAAGCAGGGCCCGAACACCAGGGGAGGGGGCAGAGACTGAGACCGGCTTAGCAAGGATGCTTTTGTCCTTCCTGACAGGCTGCCCACCCTTCCCCCACAGCATTAAACATGCTTCCCAAAAAAAAACACGCCTTCTCCCACCCTGCTACCCCTCTAGTGTCATGGGAGTGGCAGCAAACTTCTGCAGACTGCCAACAAGCTGCATCCTGCCCTGCTTCTTCCCAGGCTGGTCCCCACAGCAACCAGCCCCCAGGCCCCCTCCAGCCCTCCTGCAGCGGCAGGGCCTTGGGAGCACCTGGAGGGGTCTTAAAAATGTGAAGGTCACTGTAAATAGTATTTGTGTCCACTGTGGTGTTGGAGCAAGCAAAAAAAAAAAGGAAAGTTTTCCTTTTGATTGTTTTTGTTTTTTTTTTAATGATTTCTGTGTGATGTTGTGCTTTCCCGTGTGGATGTGTAGCCGTACTCACTGACACTAGGCTCCTTGCTCCTCTAGCGTGTGGGTAGGACCCATGGGTTTGGGAAATGTACACTATTTATGGTCCTTCCTCCCAGTGCATCTGTCCACTTTTGTTAAATTTCAATAAAATTATTTGTAGAGCCCACAAGTCCAAGAACTGTCTTACTGGGAAGGGTGGCTGTGCCAGAGGGGAGGTGGGTTTTGCCGCCAGCACTTCAAGCCCCCTGTTTTTCAGGAGGGGGTGTTTGTGCACATGTGGCTGAGTTGGTGGCGAAGGACCTGTGGGTAACAGCCATTTCCAGGTGCCCCAGTTGGCACATGGCATTGGCAGGAGCTGGTGGCTTTGTCAGGCTGTGACTTTACTTGTAGCTGCCATAACATCCTTTAAATATATAACTAAAGTGTAATCTATGTAATTTCCTTGTTCAGCCCCAAGGGTTGGAGCTCAGGACCCTGTCTCTTCCAGTGTGGGGAGGGAGGTTTGGAGGTTTGAAGGCAGCCCAGCCTCAGGCTACTCTTCCCATGGCTCCGCCTGAGCCTCGCAGGGGGGGGTGGATGGAGGATCCGCCTGTCCGCTCCTTCCTCGCCTGTCCTGCCAAATCAGTGTCTCATTAATCACGGGGGCCTGACGACTTCCAGGCCCTGTGCCGGGAAGCCTCCTGTCCCCCGAGTGCTGCTGGCTGTCCATGGGACGAGTGTGATCTCACTTTGTACCCCATGTCCTGTCCCTGACAGCCCTACAAATGTTTTCCTGTGGCCACCGTCACCTCTCATCATTTCCTCTGCACAAGCCGGCTCGGAAATGAGCCGCTGACGAGAGCTGCAATGAGTGAGCAGTCGGCTTGTCCTGCCAGTGCTCTGGCTGGTGGTGGGTGAGGCTGTGGGACTTTAGCCTGTTGATCCATAGCAGCCCAGGAGAGATGGATGGATCATGGTGGCTTTGAAGGGTGTGATGGATCATGGTGGCTGTGCAGGGTGTTATGGCTCAGTGAGGTTCCACAAGGCAGTGGCTGTGGATCTCTGGCTCCGTGAGCATCTCCGTGTCTGCCGGGCCAGCCCAGTGCCCTCCTGCTGCCCCTGGGGCAGGGCCATGCCTGGAGCCCCCAGCCCAGGGGTGGAGGCAGGTGCCAACCTCCCCTCCTGGTTTCATGGCTGCTCCATCCCCAAGCTGAACTCCTTATGCACCTTGCCCGGACCTGTCTGGCGTAAGCGGATGTGACTCATGCCCCGTTATCTTTATCTGCACAGTGAGGGATTCCCATCCTCCTGGCTGCCTGCAAGGAGCAGCTCGCCTGCTCGGCTCACCCGGGGCACTGCCCACCGCTGCCGCCTGCACCCTTCTCCTCTCTCGCGCCCATCTGGGAATGACTTTAAATGATCTCATGCTCAGCAGGGTGGATCTGTCCAGCTGCCCCCTCCCAAAATCTAGAGTCTTCTGGAAGCGAGGAGGGAAACCGAGTCAGGCAATGCGGAGCCCCAGTGAGGGGACAACAGTGAGAAGCTGCGTCACACTGAGGACTTCCAGCAGTGGAAAGCTGTGACCCCTCTGGCCACCCCGCTGCCGGGGGGGCTGGGTACCTTCGCACGAGGAGGATGGAAAATTTTAGGCGTTTCTGCTGCTGGCGAAGGGAGCCTGTTTACTGCCCAGAGGGGAAGGGCAGCGCCTGCAGCGCTGGGACTGCTTGGCTCCCCACAATCTCTCCCAAGGGTTTTGGCAGCCAACGCCCGGCCAGTGGCTGACCTTCCCTGCCCCTATCCCAACCAGTGCCTGGTGTTGCCCGCAGGCTGGGCCGAGCCGTGGCATACAGCCTGGATTCGGAGTGGCCAGCCTGGACATGGTGCCCATCCCTGGCAGTACTGTAACCATCTCGGTGGGAGCTTCACCACAAAAGCTGGCACCCGAGTGGTGTCACTAACTGGAGCCATCTGTGGGTGCCCGCGGACAGGGCTCGGCACTGGCGGCAGCAGGGGCTGACACCGAACAATGCCGGGCTTGGCGCTCCCACCCGATCCCTGAGGAGCTGGCGGGCGGCTGGGGAACGTTTCCGTAGATTCAGCCCCGCTTCCTTCCCCTGTCAGCCCCGGCACACCCTCGCTCTCCAGTGCTTCCTCCACAGGGCACCCCGATGGCTCTCAGCCTGCCGAGGCCAGCCCTGGCCAGAGCAGGCAGGGGACAGGCAGGACACAGGTACTGCCACATGGCTGGTCCCTGAGCCCTGTCTGTCCTGCTACCCATCTGGGGGGACCTTCTGGAGCCTCAGCAGTGCCCCGGGAAGGAAGGTCCCCCAGCCCTGCTGCTCCCATGGTCCCGCTTGTCCCCTCTGAGCAGGAAACCCACGGGGTCGTGGCTGAGTCAGCAGAACCGATTGCCCCAGCCCCAAACAGGATGTCCTGTCTGGCACGGCACCACCCCGGGATCACCATTGTCCTGGGGACACCGCTGTTGTGGGGACACCACTGTCCTGGGGACACCGCTGTTGCAGGGACATCGTTGTGCTGGGGCCACCACCGTCCTGGGGACATTGCTGTTGTGGGACACCACTGCTCTGGGGACACCGCTGTTGCGGGGACACTGCTGCTTTGGGGACACCGCTGTTCTGAGGTCACCACTGCCTTGGGGACACCAGCATTCTGGGGTTGCTACCACTCTGGAGTCACCACCATCCTAAGATCACCACTGTTTTGGGGACAACATGATCCTGGTAGAGCATCTTGGGGTCACCACCATTCTGGAGTCATCATTTTGGGGTGATGTCGATCCTGGGAACATCACCACTCTGGGGTCACCACTGTTTTGGGGGCACCATGATCCCACAGTCATCACCACCGTGGGGTCACCACAGTTCTGGTGTTACCACAGTTCTGGTGTTACCACCGTTCTGGGGTCACCACCGTTCTGGAGTGACCATGATTCTGAGGTCACCACCACCCTGGGGACATGACATGATGCTGGGGTTACCACAGTCCTGGGGTCACCGCTGTTCTGGGGTCACCCCAGTCCCGGGGTCACCCCTGTTT